TATTATATTTATTATATATTATATTTTCCTTTGCCTATATTATAACTTTGACCATTTCCAATACCACACCCCAACATCTTCAATCAAAATGTTGAAAATAGAGACAGAGTTATAAAAAGCTGAGAAATTATGATGATGTCTACCATGGCTAATAGGCAGAGATAGACTGGGGAGGGTCTTCCTTGATGTTTATGCATTCTTAAAATTGTTGACCAAGAGTTTCTGCTTTCATAAACAGTTTTATAATAATTAGGTCAACAAAACTTGCATATTCATTTATCAGTTGTCTTCACTGTACCAAATGAGTTCTTGGAAGTGAAAACCCAATCAAGTACAAATCCCTGTACAAATATCTTACTACCAACATTTATTTTAATACCTCCAAGATGGATATTAGTTATTTTTGTGATATCTAAGACATGGAATGACTGCTAAATATATGTAAAATTAACAAGTACCTATTTGGCCATTTCTCTGTAATTATCTTCTACTTTTAGGTTTTTAAAAATGGACGGAAAGTTGGAGTACAGATGTGCAGAAGATTGAAAGTCAAGAACTTTTCATGTTGGTCACTAACTTTACTCCTGAGATTTTATTTCACTGTTAAACAATTTGGATTGGAGATTCGAATCAGTGAATAAAATATGACATGTGACAAGTTAAAGAGGCAAAAACGTAGAGCTGCCTCTTGGGATCTGAAGAATCATTACTTCAATCTAATCGTTGTGAAATAAGGACATTGAAAATCAGGGCAGGGCTATGATAAACTCAGGACAAGAGCCCATCTTGGACTTACTTATTTATTCAATAACCATTAAATGTTAAACTTTAAATGTTAAACTCTAAACTGCAAATAGTGCTTGCCCTATAGAGTTGCTGTAAGGGTTAAAGATGCTGTAAAATCATTTGTTTATTCTTTTGCTTATTAGTTTATTCAATTATTCTTATAGTGTCTGTTTTGTGTACCTTTAGCAAGCATCTAAGAGGAACACAAAGACATATTATGCAGTCTTTGCCATTGACAGAATGAGTGTCTGGTGGGGGTGAGAAACATGCATAAATGATCAATTGTAAAAAAGCGCTATATTGGGAAGAGTAAACGTAGATATGAATATTGGAGGAATGAATTGTTAATGCTATTAAACTTAAAATTGCACATATACTATCCACTTCTAGGAAAATTTTGCAGAAATACTCATATAAGAACATAAAATTATATGACCAAGGCTGGCCACAGGAACTATATTTGAGAGAATGAAGAATAATGTAATTATCCATCCATTGCTAAGAGATCACCTAAATAGACAATGATAATGTATAATAGAATATGAAAATAATACACTGTAAATCAATATGTACGTGTATGAAAAGATGGCCTTGCCACTGGGTCCACATGAATGGATCCAGTAATAGAATATCTAAATGATGGTCTCATTTTTATAAAATAAGTACAGTTTAATTATCTGAAGATCTATACATAGGAAAAAAAAAGCTTGAAAAGACATGTGTTTAAGTGTTAAAAGGGATTATCTCTGGAGTTGGAATTCTGGGGGGCTCTCACTTTTTAAGTTCGTGTTTATTTTATAGTACGTAACTGCATTTTTGCAACCTATGAAACATAATATTTTTAATGATATCAATCAGATGAAACAGATATGCTGGATACTAATGAAACCCTGGGACAGGCTTCTAACCTGAATCAAGTGGGGACTCTGAGGAGCAAAAGGTCAGAGGCAAGAGGTAAGAGGCAGTTTGGCATGAGTGGAGAAAACTGTGAATGGTTTGGTGTTTAAGACCTGAAGCGGGAGAGAAAGAGCGATGCCATGCTGAGGTGCTTAAAGCTTCTGTAGGGGCTGGGGCTATGGTCCTGTGAGAACCCACTGACAACTCCAAAAATCCGATCAGCTAAACTCCCTTTTGGCAGAGAATGATATCCATAAAGATGCACATAAAATTTAGTTCAATTTCAGGAATTTCATAGGCCACTGGAGACATATTCAAAGACCCTCAAGAAGAAGCATCCAGGCAATAGAAACTGCAGTAGGAGTTCTCAGCAGGTAAGGGAGCTAATCAGATTTAGAAGTTCTCTCTGCAGTGGAAGGTGGATGGGAGCGCTATGAGACTGTAGTGAGATGGGGGGTCAATCACAATATATTTGTGATATACTATGAGATAAGTGAAGGGATATACTATGTGGCAGTGGCATTATCGTTGGAGACAGAGATATAAGTACGATGCAAACTTGATGTCCTTAGGTGAAATGGGCTTGCTAATGTCACCTCAGTCTGTGTGAGAGTTAAAATGAGACAGCTTGCATCTCATGTTATATAGAGCTTAACGACTTTCAAACCATAGCAACAAAGGGACTCTCTGGATTCCCCAACCGGCCTCTGAGAGAGATTATCTCAGTTCAGATGAAGAAGGATGAGAACATGATCTACATTTTGTTTTCCAGGCTTGCAATAATGAGAGAATTTGAGCCCCCAAATTGTGATGTCATTTGACTCCCAATTCTACGCATTTTTTTTTTCCAACCAAGCATTGCTTCCCATAGAGAAATTGCTAGGAAAATATGAAATATTATCTGTAATATCAACGGTGCTGGCTGTGTTGATTTAACTCAACAACTACTTAAAAAAACAAACAAACCTGCTTCTAGGCTTTTGGTGGATCCTCAAGGAATGAACATTTTATCATTGTTTAGACCTTAATATCTGCTTCTCTTTTAACCTAAATAAAAGCAGCAAGAAGTCTAAGTCTGTCTTTGATAAATCTAAGCCAGAAATTCAGATTCTACTCTAGCACTTATACTTCAAGTAAAGCTCTGATTTCAGAGTACTCACTTCGTCAGTAATTCACAGATTTTAAGAAAAATATATCATTCATTTTATTCTTCAAAAACTCTTTCCTATTTGCTTGCGATACTGTTTCTGAAATAACACATTTGGAAAGACTCTTTTCTTTTAGATTCTAATCTCATAATGCTGATCTTGGATTCTGGTATTTCTTATGTGCAAAGATACCAAGAGACCATCTCTTCCAGTGTTTCTAAACCTTATTTTGCTACAGAATCCCTGCCACCTCTGACCACACACACACCTCAGTGTATAATACTTAACATTCATACATATTGTATTGGAATACAAATTGGTAAAAACACAAGTTTTCAGTTGCCTTTTACACTGAAGAATATATAGCCCAGGATTTTCTTGAGATTCTAGTCTCATAAGTAGTAGTTTAGTACTTTTCTCACTGGAATGAAGAGACCCCTTTTAATTTCTCTCTCTCGGTAGTTTTTAGGACTTGACACATCCTAAAAAAAATTAATAACTGTGTCATTAATTGTCTAGCATTGCAACCTGGTAATAGAACATAGCTGAAAATATGTGCGGGGGAGAGGGGTGAGCAGGAAGGAGATGGGTTGCATTATTTTGCTTTTCATTTCTTCAAAAGTATAAAGGTAAATCATATCAGCAGTATATTCATTGTGGCATCATAATAATTCCTCATATTTCTATGCCCCCTTTCAAGGTGTCCACCTTCACATACATGCAATCTCAACAGTCCCATAAGACCTGTAGTCCTATTTTATGGGTGAAGGAATTGAGGCTCAGGGAGATAAGTGAGCAACCCCATGTGAAATACCACTCCCAAAATGTGGCAGAGCCCAGACTGAAACCGGTGTGCTGAGTTGGGTGTGTTTCTGCTACACTGTAGTGCCTCTCAGGATTCCCATAGCCTCATCTCCATGTCCTTCTAGCTCTATTATTCTGTAATAAGTCGGACTTTTATCTACTGACTCTATTATCTAAGCAAAGATATTTTCAGAGTGGAGGTTTACTGCTAAATAGTGAAACAAAAGTGCTTCAAAACAAATATAAACAAAGCCTCTAGCCTCTTCTAAGAAAAAGACATTCTTATAAGTAGCGATATTAATCACTAATATGTGTGTTCTTTGAAATACCCGAAGGTCCTAGAAAAGGCAAAATACATGACCTGCAGATAAATTTTTGAGAAATAGATTTCAGAGGACTCCAAAATTCTCCTAACATACTT